GTACAGGAGGAAATAGCTGTGGGGGATTGAGTGGTAGGAAGAGTGGAGGAGGTCGGCAATTAGCTGAGGGCAGGGTAGGCTTCCCTGAAGACATGGATTTTCAGGGTGCGCCTAAAGGAGAGGAGAGTAGGTGATAGTCTGATGGATTGGGGTAGGGAGTTCCAGAGGATGGGGGAAGCCCTGGAGAAGTCCTGGAGATGGGAATAGGAGGAGGAGACCAGGGAACTAGAGAGTAGGAGGTCTTGACTACTACTGTACTACTGTACTACTACTAAATATAAAATAAAAAAAAACTTCTTTTTTTCATGTATACAAATAAAAAGGAGGGGTATAAATCCACATTCAAAAAAGAATAGTACCCACAAAGTGGCAAAAAGCAAATGTGGTATGCAAAAAAGGGATGAAATATATACCAGGAAACTACAGACCATTCATCCTAGCATCAGTAGTATGTAAAGTATTGTAAGGAATGATAAGGGATGATATCCAAGAGTTTGCCATTGAAAATGGTATCAGTAGTAACCAACATGGATTGATGAAAGACTATTCTTGCCAGACTAACCTTTTAACATTCTATGAAAAAGTGAGCAGTAACTTGGATAGAGGAAGCCATGGACGTAGTGTGCCTAGATTTTGCTATAGCATTTCATATACAGTAGCACCTCACAACAGCTTAATTTACAAATTGGAATCTATTGACATCAATGAAATTGTATGTACATGAATAGAAAACAGTCATGGCAGCGCTTCCAGAGAGGACTGATAAATTGGCTTATTTTCTGAACGGTCAACAGTTTTAAGCTGTCTACCCAGGGTTGTGTTTTGTTTAAACTGTTCACTGTTTTTAAGCTGTCTACCCAGGGACCAATCCTGTTTAAACTGTTCATAAACAAAATTGAGGTTGGAATAAATAGTTCAATATCAGTGTTTGCTGAATATACTAAGCTAGGCAGGGCGATAACATTGAAGCAGGATATAGCAAACTTTACAGGAAGACCTTAATGAAATAGAGGAGGGGCAGTTAGTATGCAGATGACATTTAATATTGAAATAATATTGAAAAAAAAAGAAAAGTAATATTAAAGCTTCGGCTTTTTTTTTTTTTTTTAATATAAACAGACATATCATACTTACCTGCTCTGTGCAATGATTTTTACTGTTTTTTTCCTTGCAAAATTGTTTTCTTTTACTAATCTAGAGCAACTTGGAAATGGACATTCTATTTGCTTAAAGTAGAACTATAGGCAAAACGTTTGTTTTAATTTTGGATGGAGTAATGGAAAGTTTTAATGTTTTGCCATCTGTGTCTCTATTGGAAGATGTACCCTATTATTTTTCTGGAGACAACCCAAAATTTGGATTTTCTTTCACTTTCAATGAGAATGGTAAACAGGGCAAATAGAGAGAGTGAATCTCCCGAACAAGGACAAACAGTAAAAACCTAATAAGTATTATAATACCTCTCCACTCTATCCAAAATTAAAAAATAAAGTTTTTTTTAACTTAGTTATACTGTATAAATGACAAATACTGAAAGAAAATAGTATAAAAAAAAATCACACACATACTGTACATAAATACCCCTCTTCCACCAATAAAAAGACAACATTTTTTTTTTATTGGTGGAAGAAGGGTATTTATATATGTGTGTGATTTTTGATACTGTTTTCATTCAATGTTTGACATTTATAAAGATATTTTGTATTTACTTAAATTTAAATGTGTTTTTGATACACCACTGTGTGTCCTGTGAAAGCAGCTTCCATTTCACTGGTATTCTAGTCACCTTTTTCTTTGTATGCTGCAGGGACCACACTTACTTACCCTAGGTTCGCACCTAAGCGTTTTCTGCAGCGTTTTGCGGAAACACAATACAGTCCATTTAACATGTCTTCCTATGGGACAGGTTTACATCTCTGCGTTTCACCCGGGGCATTTTTGGAAAGGGTCAGGGACTTTTTGAACGGAAAATGTTGTGCTTTTGGTTCTATAGACATCAATGGGAATGCTGCAGAAAAGCAAATGTTGTGTTTTTGCTGCTTTTTTATGCATTTTGCATTTAAAATCCTTCTAGCAACAAGAAAATTTTTAAAAAATGAAAAAAAAAATGCAAAACGCATAAAAAACACTGCAAAAATGTGCACAAAACGTGCACAAAACGCAACCTGCATAGGTGTGAACCTAGACTTAGTGAGTTGGCATATTTCTACAGTTTAAATTATTTTACCTCTTTATTAGCAAAAAAAAATTGACAGAATTCTTCTTCACTGTATCCATCCCACTGGTATCAGATCTAATAAAATAGTGCATGGTTTCATGAGATAAATACTGCATATTTTGGAAAAATACAGCATGCAGTATTTTAATAGCTTTTTTTAGTGAATGTCAAAAAATTGTTCTTGGTGCTTAATGGCATATATTTGCACTATGGTTTGCCTCTACAACCACAAAAAGGCGCTCTAGGGTTACATAGTTACATAGTTAGTCTGGCTGAAAAAAGACAAAAGTCCATCCAGTTCAACATAGAAAAAAAAAAAGTTATAATCCTATATTCACAGTTGATCCAGAGGAAGGCAAAAAAACCCAGCAAAGCATGATCCAATTTGCTCCTGCAGGGAAAAAAATTCCTTCCTGATCCCCCAAGAGGCAATCGGATATTCCCTGGATCAACTTTACCTATAAATGTTATATCCAGTTGTATTCTGTGTATCTATAAACAATCCAGACCTTTTTTGCTGGCCAGAACCAACTCTTGGGGGAGTCTATTCCACATTTTCACAGCTCTCACTGTGAAGAAACCTTTCCGTGTTTCGAGATTACATTTCTTTTCCTCCAGATGTAAAGAGTGCCCCCTTGTCCTCTGTGATTACCTCAAGATGAATAGCTCTACACCGAGTTCACTATAGGAACCACTGATGTATTTATACATGTTGGTCATATCCCCCCTTAATCTCCTCTTCTCAAGAGAGAATAAATTCAGTTCCTCTAATATTTCCTCATAGCTGATCTCCTCCATGCCTCGTGTCAGTTTGGTTGCCCTTCTCTGTACTTTCTCCAGTTCCCCAATGTTCTTTTTGTGAATTGGTGCCCAAAACTGAACTGCATATTCCAGATGGGGTGTTACTAATGATTTGTACAGAGGTAATATGATATCTCTCTCTCTGGAGTCTATACCTCTTTTAATACAAGAGAGGATTTTGCTCGCTTTAGAACCCGCAGCTTGGCATTGCATGCCATTATTAAGCTTGTGATCTACCAGAACTCCCAGATCCTTCTCCACCATTGATTCCCCCAGTTGTACCCCCTAGTATGTATGATGCATGCATATTCTTAGCCCCCAAGTGCATAACCTTACATTTATCAACATTAAACCTCATTTGCCACATAGTTGCCCAATTAAACAGTGCATTGAGGTCGGCTTGTAAGTTGGAGACATCCTGTAAGGACATTATTCCCCGGCACAGCTTGGTGTCTTCTGCAAAGACTGAAATGGGATTTTTAATCCCAGACCCTATATAGTTTATAAATATATTAAAAAGTAAGGGTCCCAATACTGAACCTTGGGGTACACCACTGACAACCCTAGACCATTCAGAGTATGAATCATTAACCACTACTCTCTGAATACGATATTTTAGCCAGTTTTCCATCCATTTACATACATATTTTTTTCCAAGCCTGTAGACTTTACCTTACACATTAGCCGTGTGTGGGGAACTGTGTCAAACGCTTTTGAAAAATCCAAGTATACCACGTCCACCGCCACCCCTCTGTCCAAGGTTTTTGCTCACCCCCTCATAAAAAGAAATCAGATTTGTTTGACAACTTCTGTCTTTCATGAAGCCATGTTGTCTGTTGCTTAAAATATTTTTTTTCCAGCAAGAACTCATCTATGTGGTCTTTTATTAAACTCTCCAGTATCTTCCCAACTATAGAAGTTAACCACTAGGGGACCACCCACAGTACATATACTGCTACAAGGCGGCCCTTTTGCGCTGATCACAGCCTTCCGGAACAATTAGTAACAGAGAGGTGCACACCCCCACCCCCTAGTAACCTGTCGCTCCGCCTGGGGGGCCGGCCGCCGCCGCTCCGCCGCTCCGCCTTGGGGCCGGGGGGTGGGGGGGGGGGGGGGGGGGGAACACTCCCCTCACACAGTTAACCCTTTGATTGTCTCCAAAAGTTAACCCCTTCCTCCCCAGTGCCATTAGTACAGTGTCAGTGTGGTTTTGTTTGCACTGATCACGGTTTTGGTATTACTGGGGATGTCAGTGACCTCAAGTCAGTTCTCCCCCAGTGTCAGAATGTCCACCGTAGTCCCGCAGTCCCGCCATAAATCACTGATCGCTGCCATAAGTCACTGATTGCCGCCATAAGTCTCTGATCGCCACTATTATTAGTATTAAAAAAAAATCCAGTATGCAACTGCTTCCTGACCACCCTATAGCATAAATACTGCTACAGGCCAGCACAGGTGTGCAAAATCACATATATATATATATATATATATATATATATATATATATATATACTGTATATATACATGATTCTGTCTCCCGTGGTTTTCACGCCCCTCCCAGATAGCCTCAGATTGCCAGTCAGTACACCAGTCATCACATTTAACCCCTTGATTGCCAGAAAGATGCTCATACACAATAAACCTCCATTGCTAGTATAGTGTCTGAACGGATCAATATCTTTGATCAGATCAGCACTATACCAGCGTTCACATTAGTATAGTATCCCCAAAAACGCAGTGTTAGCGAGATCAGCCCCGGCACCTGCGTTTAGCCCTTACATTTACCCCCCCTTCTCCCCCAGCAAGTGCAGTGTCAGTAGGTCACTGTCACTTGATACATTGCACAAAAAATCGCAATGTTCACAGAATCAGGCCTGATCTCTGTTAGCACTTGCCGGTAAATTATGATGACTCTCATATGCAGAAGAGTGCCAGTACTAGTGTCGCGCTACCTTTTGGTGAACTGGCAAGCACCAGCGGTCTAGTACATCCTGGCCTTTCATATACCTCTTAGATTGTAAGCTCCCTGGATCAGGCCCTCCTAACCCTCTTGTATTGAACTGTATTGTTGCTGTATTGTCTCCCGTTATATTGTAAAGCGCTGAGCAAACTGTTGGCGCTGTATAAATCCTGTATATTAATAATAATAATACCAGCACTGTAGTATGACTTGGTGATGTGGCGAGTCTCATAAGTGCAGTACAAGCTGGTGGCGAGCACAAGTATTGTCTTGCAACCACCAAGAATTCGCACACAGGCCCGTAGAGCCCCTAGTATCCTTCCAGATGTGCTTACAAATCCCGATTGGCAGCCCACAAATTCTGCTGCACCCATTCACTGCCCAACCCGGAATTCAGGTGGAAATAGCAAATTTAACTCCTTCCCTTGAATTTTTGGAGTTTTTCATGGAAGATCTGTATGCATTTATTGTGGATCAAAGCATTGTATATGCACAACAATGTATCATTGCCAACTCAAATTCAAACCTTGCCAGACCATTCACATGGAAACTGATTATGATTTCCAAAATAAATTTTTTTTGGGCCTAACCCTCAACATGGGCATTACTAAAAAAAAATTAATTGCGGTTGTATTGGTTGACAGACCCGATTCATCATATGCCGTGTTCTCTGCTGCCATGGCCAGGCATAGATATGAGAGTATAATGTGTTTTATGCATTTCAATGACAATACACTCTGTCGTCCTCAAGGTGACCCTGAATTTGACTGGCTCCACAAAATTCAGCCCCTCGTAAATCACCTTAAGCAAAAATTTGCAGATGTCTATACTCTCCAGCAAAAAATCTCTGTTGAGGAGACCCTCATTAATTTTTCTGGCCGCCTTGCATTCAAACAATTTCTCCCCAGCAAGCGTGCCAGATATGGGGTCAAGAGCAGAAGACCTGTGAGAGGGCAACAGGCTATACATAAAAGTTTCGGATTTACAAGGGAAAATGTCACATGGAGCCATCCAGATGCCCAGACTACATGGGGAGTAGTGGCAAGATAGTTTCGGACTTGGTGTCATCCTTTCTCCATATTGGGTACCACTTATACGTGGACAATTTTTATTCAAGCATGCCACTATTTAGACAATCTTGGAACTGTCGCATGTGACCTAATGTGACCTAATGTGTGCCCACCATTAGAAGTGGGTGGATGCAGGGCGGTATATTCTAATGGTGGGCATACCATACATTTTTTTTTAGCAGAGATTTCTTCTCTTTTTTTCATTCAGTCCACAGGCTGCATGCAAGAAAAAAAAAAAGAACATAGCATATATACCCAACAAGGACCAGCGACGTACTGGTACATCACTGGACTTTGAATGGTTACTCCGGGATGATGCCTACAGCTGCAGGCATCATCCTGGTATAATTTTTTTCAGCTGGCAATTGGCTTTCATGTAAAAGCAATCCTAGTGGCTAATTAGCTGCAGGATTGCTTTTACAAGCAGCGGGAGACAATAACCCCACACTTCATGTGCGGCACCTGTGTTCATGAGCGTTGACCCTGTGCCAGTATGGAAACAGCAGTTGCACAATGCATGTGAGGTATCGCCACGAACGTCAGATCAAGGGCAGTAATTGTAACACTACACTAGACATCCTCTGTAAATCTAAAATGGTAGCTTATAAAGGCTTTTAAAATGTTGCACATGGATATTAAAAACGTATGCAGTTTGTCGCCATTGCAAGGGGCATGTGCAGTTTTAAAGCATGTCATTTTTGGTATCTATTTACTCGGCATACCATCATCTTTTATATCCTTCCAAATAATTGCCCAATATATTGTGTTTTTTGTGCATTAAAAGTAAAAAAAGTGTATTTTTTTTGTAAAAATTGCGTTTGAAAAATCTCTGTGCGAGTACTATGTGACATAAAAAATTGCAGCACTCACCATTTTATTCACTAGGGTGTTTGCTTTAAAAAAATATATAATGTTTGGGGTTTAAATTAATTTACTAGCAAAAAATACTGATTTTTTTCATGTGAACAAAAAGTGTCAGAAAAGGCTTAGTCTTCACTACCCCTTTTTGGAAAGTAGACACCCCAAACTATTTGCTGAGAGGTATGTTGAATCAATAGAAGAATTTATTTTTTTACCAAAGTTTTTGGAAAATTACAATTTATTTTTTTTTTTACACAAAATTGTCATTTAAATGATTTATTGTTCACACATGCCATGGGTATATGTGGAATTACTCTCCAAATACATTCTGCTACTTCTCCCGAGTATGGGGGTACCACATATGTGAGAGACGTTTTGGCAGTCTAGCCAAGTACAGGACCCCAAAATCCAATAAACCTCAAGAAATGTGACGAGCAGTCAGAAAGTAAAAGCTGTGTAAATTCCATTATCTATACCATAGTTTGTAGACGCTATAACTTTCACACAAAGCAATAAATATACACTTATTGGGATTTTTTTAAGCAAAAACATGTAGCACAATACATTTTGGCCTAAATTTATGATGACATTTTAGTTTTTTTGGATACTTTTATGACAGAAATGAGAAAATTTATTTCCTCAAAAGTTTTTTTTTTTTATAGCGCCAAAAATAAAAAGTGCACAGGTGATCAAATACCACCAAAAGAAAGCTCTATTTGTGTGAAAAAAGGACATAAATTTCATTTATGTACCGTATTGCATGACCACGTAATTGTCAGTTAAACTAGTGCAGCGCTGTATAGCAAAAACAAATGACATAAATTCCATTATCTATACCATAGTTTGTAGACGCTATAACGTTCACACAAAGCAATCAATATACACTTATTGGAATTTTTTTTACCAAACACGTGTAGCAGAATACATTTTGGTCTAAATTTATAACTAACTATGAGTTTACTACATATTTTTTATAGCCGAAATTATAAAATACAGTTTTTCTTCAAACTTTTCGTTCTTTTTTTTTTTTATAGCGTGAAAAATAAAAAGTGCAAAGGTGATCAAATACCACCAAAAGAAATCTCTATTTGTGTGAAGAAAGGACGTAAATTTCGTTTGGGTGCAGCATTGCATGACCGCGCAATTATCAGTTGAATTAGTGCAGTGCCGAGTAGCAAAAAGAGGCCTGGTCATTAGGGGGGTAAATCCTCTAGAGGGCAAGTGGTTAAACTAACAGGTTTATAATTACTTGGTAAAGATTTTGACCCCTTTTTAAATATTGGCACCATTGGCCTTATGCTAATCCACTCATCCACTCTAGATTATTTTGTAAAGGGCCTACATGCTCGGACTGAACCTTTTTACTATTAATATATTTGAAGAATGTTTTGGGGGTTGGTCCTGCTATCTTTTGCAATCTGTCGTTCGTATTCAATTTTTGCGGCCTTTATTTCCTTTTTGCATATTCTGTTATATTGATTTACTAAAACTGAAAAGTGCAAAATCTCATGCAGTGTGCATGGTAGCCAATCATCTTCTAACTTCAGATTGTTGAAATGAAATGACAAAAAAACCTGGAAGCTTAGTTTCTCTGCTGAGCTACACCAAATGTTGTACTCTCCAGTTTTAGTAAATCAACCCTAATGTCTTATGAAACCTAGCTTTGGCATTCAGGTACACCCTAATCATCCAACCTATATCCAAGGAGTGTAGTTCCACTTCTTTAGGGTTACATAGTCAGGTGAAAAAAAAGACATCCAATTCAATCAATAGAAAAAATAAATAGAATAAATAACTATAAAACCTCAATTTACAGTTTACCCACAGTTGATCCACAGGAGAGAAAGAAACCTATAAAGCATGCTTCAATTTGCTCCAACAGAGGAAAATGAATTCTTTCCTGATCCCCTGAAGGCAATTGGCTATTCCCTGGATCAGGAACCTAATGTTAAATCTAGCTAAAATTTGTGCTTTTAGGAATGCATCCAGCTTTTTTATAAAAAACAATCTTTTGAGCTGCCCATAACTATTTCTTGAGGGAACCTATTCCACATCGTTAACTATCTTTCCCTCCAGACGTAAAGAGTGCTCCCTGTTTTTTTTTTTTAATAACCTTAAATTGAATAACTCTACATCACATTCACTATACATTGTGATCTTATTCCCCCTTATTTGCCTTTTCCTTAAATTTGGCTCATCTAATCTCACCACATAACCGAGATTCTGCAAACCACTTATCAGTTTTGTTGCCCTTCTCTGCACTCCAATATATCCTTTTAAACTGGTACCCTAAACAAAATAGCATTCTCCTGATGAGGTCTTACTAATGCTTTGTATAGAGGCAAAATTATGTCTTGCTCTCTCACTGGAATCTGCAGTATACCTTTTTTAATGCAATAAAGTGTTTTGCTTGCTTTAGAAACTGCAGCTTGGCAACACCCCAGATCCTTCTTGAACCCTGACTTCCCCAGTTGTATAAATCCTAAAAAAAAAAGTATAATGCATGTCTCTTTTTACCTCCCAAGTGCATACATTTACATTTATCAACCTTAAAAGTAATTTGATAAATAAATAAATAAATAAATAATACATTGTCACAGAATTGCCCAAGTGAATAGTGTATAAAGGTCTACTTGTAATTTAGAAGCATTTTGTAAGGACATTATTTCACTACTGTACATAGCTTGGTGTCATCTGCAAACACAGAAATGGTACTTTTAATCCCAAATGCTATATATTTATAAATAGGTTAAAAGTAAGGGTCCCAACGGTGAACTTTGGGGCACACTAATAGACCATTCAGAGTATGAATCACAAATCACTACTCTCTGAATAAAATCCTTTTCTATCCACAAACTAAATTTTCTAAACCTATAGACTTTAATGTACATATTAGCCATGCATGGGTTACTGTGTCAAGCGCTTTTGCAAACTCCAAGTTCTAGAAGTGGAGTGTGGTCAGTCAGTGGCCATCTAGTTGTTGACAGTGGAGGTGGTGAGACAGACAGCTGCCTGTGTTTGATATGCACTGTACATACCACTGTGTGTGCACTAACTTGTGAGTGTCATTTTTAATTTTGAATAAATGTTTTTACTGTATGGAGCGCACTATCAGTCCCTATTCTTCTTCCATGAATTAAACAATGCTTCCTATGGGAATGGAAGATCCATGGAACAGTGGGAGCCATCTGTGGTCGAGTGAATCTGGAGCAATCCTGTTTGCAGCTGGTGAAGTTGGCAAAAGTGCATGTTCATAGGCAGGTCTAGTGTGGATGTGAGCATACTGTATATTGTTCACAGCAGCTGTATGCATAAGTAGCACTGGTGATCAGTTATAGAAGATATTGGTGCATTGGGTAACTATTTGGTAAGGAGCAGGGTGCCTCTGTGGTGGTGGGCATGAGAGTCCCTATTTCACTACACATGTGGAGGATTATTGTGGACATGGCTGTTCATCAAAATTGAATTTTGTCATTAAGAGACTTTTTTTCATTGTTTGGTGATTCATGTATTTTGACATAATAATATTAGTTGCAGTACGTTTAAATTATAAGTGAATTACAGTTTATATATATTTTTTACCAATAGCTCAACAATAACAACTGAATATAACGGTAATGTCTGCCTTCATTTTGTAAAGCACTAACTGCTGGCACTGCATAAATCCTGTATTAGAATAATAATTAACAAC